TCACTGGGACGGAGTTGTCTGCTTCTGTGCTCTCTGCCTCGCTGGAAGTTGGAGCGGGGACGTCTTTGCTTTCTGCATTGCTACTTTCACCGGCATCAACTTGATCAGTTTGCCTTGGATCTCCCGTGGAGGGGTCACCCACTGGAGTGTTGGATTGTTGAGGCGTCTGTCCGCCCTGAGTCTGATGATTGTCTGTCTCTGTTTTGAGAGGTTTTTGCTCGGATGGTTGAGATTTCTGTGTGGTAAGAGCTCTCTCAGGGTCGTCGCTATCAAGGGACTCCCCTCTTCCTCCACCGGGAGATCTGAGCTGTGTGGACGGTGTTGATGAGTGAGTCACTGATACAGCAGCGCACGTAGCCACAACGTTCGCAATGAGCTTCACTTCGGACCCGGCTGGGACCTTCACTTTACGCGTTTGTGTCTCCGGAATCTTGTCAGAAGTCTGCTCAGAAGTAGTGGGCGTCACAGTAAAAACATAGGTGATGGTGTCGCTGTCAGCTGTTTCAGCTTCCGCCGATGGGCAGTTTTCTTCAGCGGTGCTGGAACTAGCTTTATCTTTCTTCGTGCATTTAACATCCAGTGAGGTCTTCAGCGTCAACTTGTGCCCAACGGGAACTTTGACTGTCTCAGACGGTACATCCGGAATTATTTTTTTTTCTTCTGAGGCACCCTTCGCGAAAGTAACCGCAGTGGAAATGGTAACCGTCTTGGTTTCCCCAGTCGTTGATGTGGGCTGCGGCCTGCAGTTAGTGGCATCAACTGCCCCAGTCAGCGTTATCTTCGCGTCGCCAGTAGCAAGCTGCAACTCACCTGGGAGCTCAGCAGCGGCAGCAGCCACGCACAGAGAGGTGCAGCAGCACAGCGCGAGGGCCAACACGCACAGCACGTGGCGCAGCATCAGCGTCAATGGAGCCTGGGACCACCTGTGTCTGCGGGGGAGAGGAGGAGCACAGCAGGTGGCACACACACAGAGAGCGAGAGGGACACGGCACCAACACAGTGCACCGCAGCACAGTGAACCACCCAACAAGTGATATCAGTTAGAGGGCAGGCCGCACACAACGCCCAGCAGCAAGCAAAGCCCCAACACACCCAGAGAAGAAACAAACAGACGCCTCCCGGACAACACACACACAGCACAAGTGAGTGCAATCACAGGTGAATTAAACAGCGCCCAGCCCACAACGGGGCAGCAATGAAATGAAAACAAAAGAATCTTTATAATGAAGAACGCAGCCCTCGGGACTCAACGCAATTATTACGAGGCCATCGTCGCCCCCTGCACGCTCACACAGGCACGTCTCACAACACGGCCACGCAGGCAAGCAGCAACAACAGTGGGGCACGCACCCATGCAGTGCTGCTGCTGCTGCTGGCGTCGGTGTTGCGGTCAGGAAGGTTCACGCCCTCTCCCGCAGAGGTGGACGTACCGGCATCAGCGTTGGGAGCCCCTTCGGTGTTGGTCCCTGATTGAGGTGTGGCTGTGGGGGCAGTGTGGTCGGCGTCACTCACTGTGACGGAGTTGTCTGTTTCTGTGCCCTCTGCCTCGCTGGAAGTTGGAGGAGTGACTTTGTTGCTGGCATCGCTGCCCTTTTCTCCACCGGTGCGTTCACCGTTTACTTTTTCTCTGCTTGTGGCGGTGTCAAGTGATTTGGTGCCGTCTTGTGGAAGTTGCGCTCCTTCCTGAGTCTTCCCTTTGCGCCTTTCTGTTGTGATGGAATCGTCATCAAGTGGGGGAGATTCGGGTGAAGTAGGGCCTAAATCAGGCAATTTGCTGTCAAGCGTGTCCTTTTCTCGAGGGTCAGGATTTGCTTTCGGTATTGTTGGAAGAGGTGGCTCACTTGTAGGTGGCGGAACGCATGCAGCCACAAGTTTCGCCACAATGTTCACATCGTGCTCAGGTGGGACCTTCACTTCATGGTTTTGTGTCTCCGGAGTATTTACAGCAGGCTGGTCAGAAGTAGTGGGCTTCACAGCAACAACATAAGTGATGGTGTCGCTGTCAGCTGCTTTAGTGTCCGTCACTGGGCAGCTTTTTCCAGCGGTGCTAGAACTATCTCCTGCTTTCTTCGTGCATTTAACATCCAGTGAGGTCTTCAGCGTCAATTTGTACCCATCGGGAACTTTGACTGTCATAGACGGACCATTTGCCATTTCTGTCGGTTCTTGTGATTCACCCTCCTTCTTCCTCAAAGCAACCTTAGTGGAGATAGTAACATCCTTGTTTACCCCAGTAGCCGGAGGGGGAGGGGGCGATGCTGTGCAGTTGCCGGTTTCAACTGTTTCCGTCAGTGTTATCGTCGCGCCGCCGTTTACAAGCTGCAATTTACCTGCCTCCTGAGGTGCACCAGCAGCAGCCACGCACACAGACGTGCAGCAGCACAGCGTGAGGACCACCAAGCACAGCACGTGGCGCAGCATCGTCACTGTCAGCAGTATCACTGAAGTCGCTTGTCGGTGAGCAAGAGAAGAAGCACACGCAGCCCACTGCAGCCGCACCCGCACACAGACCAGCAGAGAGGAGCACCGCGACTCGGGCGGCACCACAGCACCAACGCCAACACCACTCACCGCACACAGATTATTGAGCGCCACACAGCCCCACACAGCACCTCCACCCAAACAAACCCCAAACAAAAAGGAGGGAAGACGGAAACAACTGCGGTGCCGCCGCACACCTCCGCAATCGTGCACTGCTGCGCTTCGCTCCTCGCACACGTATGCATGCGGGTCTGCATTCACGCGGTGTCCGCACACCGATGCAAAGGAGCACAGCACACGGCAGCACCGCACCGGACGCAAAGAAACAAACAAAGCTGCGAGAAGGCGGGCCCGTAGCCTCAGCCGCTCTCCCACGAGCCTATGGTGTGTGCGTGTGTGTTATCGCACATTAAATTAAAGAAAATGGCGCGTGGCCAACGCACATCACAGTGCAAAGCAAAGCCCAATCAAGAACAACACCACAGAAGCACGGTCTCCTCCCTTGCGACATCGAGCACAGGGATGATCGCGGAGCATTAAGGGGTCAGCCCAGACGCACCGCAGTGAGCCAGCAATGAAACGAAAAGAATCTTAGTGTCTGCCGTTTTGCACACCCAGCAGACCTTAACAACAACATCGAGATCATCGACACGCCCGCGTTCACGCCGCTCACCGCATGGCAGTGGAGGCAATAACCCCCAGCAGCAGCGGGGCACGCAATGGAAACAGTTATCGAGGGGCGGCGCACTCACGTTCATGCGCAAAGCAAAGCCCAAGCAAAATAAAACAAAAAACAAAGAAGGAGTGTTGACTCTAGCGGCACACAAGGCCGCAGAAATCATCATTATTTAGTGGAAAGCCACACATCCCACAAAACAGCTGGAACACGAGAAGAGCCAAAGGTGTCGGCCATCAGAACTCACGCCTCACAGCTTGGAGCAATTAAAAAAGAATCCCTGCGACACACACACACACACACACACAGCTCAGCACACAGCCAGACAGGTCAGCGCCCCAAGCAGAAGAACAAGCAACGATGGGCGTAGCAACGCTGAGCCGCCGCCGCCGTCGGCACTGCCACTCTCCTGCAACCTTCCCTCCACCACAGGCTCAGGCACACTCACAGCGTCCGCAGCCGTGCCTTCTGGCGGGGAGGCAACACTCACATCACGCACATCACGTGTACCCATGCTTTCCGTATTTGTCCCCGGCACCAGTTCAGCAGCGCCGGCCCGCCCGATCCCCGCTTCAACGAGGTCGGCGGAGCCTTGACTCTCTCCCAGGCTTCGCCCGCTCGGCATCGGCGCCTCACCCCCGCCCTGTGCTGGAGAGGACACTGCAGTCCCACGGGAAGGAGCGGCGGCCAACGGAGTGTCGCCGCCCCCCGCTGCCGGTGGTGTGCCGTGGGAGCCACCACCCGCGCCTGCAACCTTCGCCTCCTGCTTCTGCTGCTGTGCCCGCTGCGCCTCATCCTCAGCCAGCCGTAGCCAGTCGGCTTCCGCTGCATTCAACGCGGCAGTAGCGAGTCTCCCTGCCTCCTTGGCATTGCCCGTCGCCCTTTCAAGAAGCTTATCAGCAGATTCAGCACGCGCCGCCACCTCTCCCGCCTTATTCACAGCCGCCTGGGCATTCTCCTCACCCTTTAAAAGGCTCTCTTTTGCCTTCGTGGCCCTCTTCAGCGCCTCCTCAGCCTTTGCTGCTGCCTTTTTAGCGCCCTCTTCCGCCTTTACGCACCTTGATACCTGACTGTTCTGGACGTTTAATGCGGCAAACCTCGCGTCCCCGTCTGCCTCATCAGCTTTAGCTGCTCCATGGCCTGCAAGTTCCACTACCCCCAAGAAGCTCTCTACTGCACTCTTGGCTCCCTCCACGACACTACCGCACAACGCCACCACTCTCCGCGCAAGATCTGCCACTTCTTTTGCCCTCTCCGCTGCGGCAGTGGCCTCCCCCTCTGC